CCCCCCCCCCCTTCCTTAAACATGATTGAAAGAAATAAGCCCTTGGGAGGCTTAATAGAGGATTCACAGTAATTAATAATTAACAAAATGTCTAGTTTTTCAGAATATATTGAGAAGAAACATTGCATTTCCCCCCATCAGTAATACTTGGTACTATGTACATTTGTCATACAGAAACAGCTTAAATGTTCTTTTATTTAGAAAATCTTTTCATTTCTTGTATAGGCATTTGATCTTGTAAAGAAGCAAATGTCTGTCTGAGTCTTACAGGGATGGCAAGGTGGTCGGGGTCTAAAAATATGCAATCTATTTTTAAAAGCACGGTGCTTTGCTATTTTCTGTCTGGAAGGTTAAAATAGTTTTAGTTTTATCAGGAGTCAGAGTTTGTTTATAGGCTCATTTGGGTCACGAAGGCACAAAGGAAAGTTCACAGTTGAAAATTTTAGTTTACACAATTTATATGTTGAACAATAAAACAAACTGAATTAATTGCAAAAAATATAAATTATCAAGCATAGGGGGAGAAGGAGAAGGAGAAAGAGAAGAAGGAAGACAAAACCTCACTACTTTATGTAGAATCTCCATGTTGTTTTACAAGGAACTCCAAATTTGTCTTTATTTAGGGTAATCAGCGTGCAAAGAAAGTTGTGTCCGATAGCCGGGGCTAGTGGATTTTGCCATCAGGCTAATGATGTTTGTTCTTAATTTGCCTGATGGGCAAGTGCTGTTTTTTGGAGAAATTCAAATTACAGAAGGATTGTTATCAGTCCTACTAATCAAAAAGGGCTGGCCCCTGGCGCATTACTTTCGGCCCCTTTTAGGTGACTGTAGCCTGCGTCATAGACACTCTGAACCTCCTATGTAGAGTATGCGCGAAATAGTGCACAATATCGTGTTCAAATCCCACAGAGTCACAAGGACATATGTAGGTGTCTGATTGGGTAGTTTCTTATGCAGTTTGTGATTATAGTCCAACTTGGACAACTTTTCACAGGCCAATCATGACTCATAGCACATGACAGTGTGAAACGTGACCTTAGAGTCAGCTTGTACAATAGAGATTTTTATCTGTTTTCTGACAGGATTTGATCTCAAATACAGTTTACTAATGGTTTTCTTTTACTTCTGTTAAAGCCTTAGGCCCCGTTCAGACGCCGATCTTTTCATGAGCCGAACCTAATACATTGATCATGAATTAAGTACATGAAAATTTGGGCGTCTGAATCAATTAGGAATGCCTATTTCAGTTGGCAATGGCTCAGCCGTTCTATTTGCCTAGCCCAGCCGGAAATTTCGCCTTTGCAGTGACTTTGGAATGACTTTGATTCAGATGCCAAACTTTTCATGTGCCAAATCTAATGCATAAATTATTATAACGTATTTTGTAAAAAGTTTGACCGAAATGAGCATTTTTCGTCTTTTGAACTTAGTTCACAGTGCAATTAAGATAGGCGTCTGAATCAATTCAGCCGGTCTAAATAATTTGGGTCAGCCTTAATTCGAATTAGGTTTGGCTCATGAAAAAACGGCATCTGAACCGGGCCTTAGGCTTTTATTATGGCTAAATAACCTTAGTTTCTTTGGTTTTCTCCAAAATTCTTGGACCTGAATTAGAGCTCGATGTGTGTACAAATGTAGTTTTTTTTTTGTCTCTGAATATCATGATTTCCTGATTTGTTTTGACGCTAGAAATATCTTGACAGTACATGTGCAGAATACACAGCAGTGAATCTGTAGTGATCGGAAAATATTATAAAGCCAGACGCAAGTAGGTAGACTTTCTGAAAGCTTGTTTCCGGTTTCTGGTGGTTAAGTGGTCAGTCTGGAAACAGACTTTTCTCACCTGAAGTGCACTATATTATTTATTTTGACTGGCCAGTTTTCTGGCAGGCACTTGGCTTTGAAGTGAAGACAGGGAAGGAAGCTTAGGAAAGGAACGTACACGAAGCGACTGCTGCCTTCAACAAAATTACAGTAATCAAAAGATAAGGTAGAAGGGTTCGCTAGTGATCGAGA